GGTAACTGACGTGGCGTCCAGAGCCGGCCCCCGGTGTCGACGGGGACGGTCAGCCAGGAGCTGGCTGGTGCTGGGGCAGGGCCAGGCCCAGCCCTCCGTGCCCTGCGGCGAGCCCTGTCCTCCACCGGGCCCGTGTCCGTGTCGGTCAGCTCTGTCCTTGACCTCCCGGCTCAAGTCGCTTGGCTGGTCTGTATTCCCTGGCTCCTCTGCTCTGAAATGAGACCCACATCTGGGCTGCCCACACCCGGGGCTGCGCTTCATTCTCCACTCCACTCACCTCTTCAGAAATCTTAGGCCAGTGTAGACTCTTCCGGTCCCTCGTCCATCCCTCAAGACTGTGTGCTTCAGTCTCTGCCCTGAGATGTTGCCCTCACGCAGGCCCACCTGCTGACTGAGGCCAACGGGAAGCCCTCGCGTGATGGCTGGGGGGCGGGCGGGGCCACGTGATGATGGACAGGCTGGTGCCTGACGATGAGTGTTGGCCTCCCAGTACTGCCAGAGCCGCAGGCTTCTTAGGAAAACAGGAAACGGATTTTATATAAAATCCCTTAATTTTTAATATTTGCTGCTAATTTTTTAAAAAAATTTAACACTTTATAGACTAAAGAAAACACATGAGCCAGTGGAGCTCAGCCTGTGAGTAGCACTTTGCAGGCCCCCGTTTCCATCAATTAGGGCAGCGAACTCACACGCGGACCGCCGAGGCTCTGAAAGTGCTCGGTTCAAGCCAACCTCCTGCCTGTGCCAGCGGTTGTATCTCTGAAACGGAGCATTTGGTCTAACGCCTGTTGGTGTCCCCCATGACTCGCCCGTGGCGGGAGGCGGGGGTGCTGGCTGGACCAGGCCAGCGATTCGCCACCTGGGCCCAGGCAGCCACTCCGCCCACACACAGGGAGCCCCCGGCACGGGCCTTTGCGCACAGCAGAGGCGCCCCTCCAGGGAGATGCCCTTGCCTTCTCCCCGTTCCCCATCCCGCCCCTTTACAAGTGCCTCGAGTTTTTAATTTTTCATAAACATAACTTTGATGTTAACTCAGGAGCAAAAATGCATGGAAATACCCACATAGCACGTAGCCTTTCCCCTTATTGCCACTCTCCCCCGTCTTCTTTTTCCTTCTTTTGTATTATTTTCCAGCCTTCTTTCAACTTCTCAAACATAGAAAAACTCGTTGCCATCCCAGGTTCTGTGTGTGCTGTGCTCTCTGCTCTAAGTTTACCTTTCAGCCCTGTGCAGGGTGGGCTTCTCTTTCTTCAGGACACAGCTTAAAGATCACCTCTTGTAAGGAGCCTTCCCTAACCACCTGGCCAGGCCATTCCACCCCAGTGCTTTCTCACAGGCTCTGTTATTTCCCTCCTGTAATCCCACAGCCTGTGATTGTGTGTTTACCTGTGCCAGGCCTTTCCCTAGGGAGGTTCAGAGGGCACCTGCACAGGCCTGGGCCCGCAGCAGTCCTGCTGTGTTTAGCACATAAATAGACACCCCTAAGGCCAGGGCACTGTTTGGGGGTACATTGACAACCCCGTATGTGCCACTGTTACTAAGAATCTTGTGGCACTGATATTGCATCTCTGCAGCCCTCTAGACCTCGCTACATGAAGCGCTTCTGTGTCTGACCCAGTAATTTTGTATTTGGCTCATTTCTTGTGTTCAAGCAAATCAAGATGTCTTTTAAGAAAAAAAGAACAACTCACACGTAAGTCTACAAACTCAGAGAGTTTCCAAATACTCTCAAAACTTGTAAATAATGGCTAAGGAGCCATTATATTTTCTTACACGGCACATGCTAACTATCCAGAGGATCTTTACACAGTGGATTCTCCCCTTCGCAAACATTTTAACTGGAGAAAGCTATAAAAAACAATCATGTGAAGCCTCTGGAAATTGTCCTAAGGGCATACAGCAAATGGGGAAACATTCCTTCAATGGAATCAAGAAAATCTGATAAATCTCACTAAGAACAGTGAGTCTGTGGCCCTTGAGCCCTGACCGCCCCCCCCCCCAACCACTACTACTCTGAGGCTTTACTCCAGGGAGTGCAGCCAAGAAGACAACCCCCTCCCCTCAGCTCCCCGTCCAGGGCACATTTCGCTCTAGGAGGGCTGCCCACTAGCATCCCTTGTCCTCAGGCCCCTGTTGCGGAAGCTCAACCCCAAGTGTGCTGGGCCAGGGATACTGGCCCAGCTGTCCTGCCCCAGCCCGCCGCAGGGTCGATGCACCACGCAGGGAGGCTAGCCCAGAAGCCCAGCGCCACCGCCACCCCCCAGCGCCCACTCTAGAGCAGAGGTGTCAGTCCAGGCAGAGGGGGCGCTGCCCAGAGGGAGACAGGGTGTGGCGAGGAAAGAGAGCTCTGTCGGGCGGCATGAGAGGGCGGGAGAACTCCGTGCCCAAGAGCGTTGTTGAAAACAGTGAGGACCTCGGCGGAGAGAGGTTCAGAGAGTGCTTGTAACTTACTGACTCTTCATCACCAAGCAAAGGGCAGAGCAATGCAAAGTTAGCAGAGAGAATCAGGGAAAAGAGACCACCAAGAGCCCTCCTGGAATCACAGTCAAACTTGAGAGACAGGAAGGGTGTGCTCTCAGGAGCACTGATGGCCCCCAAGGGAAGGTCGGGGTACGAGCCTCACTTCCCTGAAGGCCTCAGGACCACCTCCAACCACACTAGATGAGCAGTTGGTTGCTTTGAACCAGGGGCAACTCTGGGAAGCCAGACTTGAAAATCGCACATAGGTCTGGCCGTCTGACCTGCCCAAGGCCACACCTTCACAGGTGTGATTAGGGAGGGGAAATATGAGCTGTGGCCAAAGGAGAGGGATGAGGGCAAAAAGCTGCACTCCTTGAACTATGAGATCAACCTCCAAGACACACATGTCCAGTGGTAAAGATGAAAAGTCTGACTGGCTGAGGATGCTCAAGCACAACCTTTCACTAATAAGTGGCTTCGCTGACCTAGGGACAGCCTCTAGGTAGCCATGTGAAAAGATAAAAACAAGAGGACAGTCTGAGCAGGACCATCAGAGACTGCAGCCTGCACGGAAGAGCTGTTCAGACAGGTCACTGAGCAAGTGAGTAAACTACATCATCAACCCTTGGCGGAGAGGAGTCAAGGATCCAGAGTTGCCGCAATTTACTATCCAGCACGCCCAGTTGTCAACCAAAAATTGCAAGGTTTGCAGAGAAACAGGGAAGCATGACCCATACACGAGGAAAAAAGCAGATGATAGAAGCCGCTTTTGAAGGGCCCAGTTGTTGGACTTAGCAGACAGAGATTTTAAAACAGCCATTATAAATACGTTCAAAGAGCAGAGGGAGCCATGTCTCCGGATTACAGGGTGTAGATGACAGAGTCTAATCAAAAGGAGGATATCAGTAAAAAGACGCAAACTGGAAAGAACCAAATGGAAACTCTGGAGTTGGAAAGTATAATAACTGATATGAAAAATTCACTAGATAGGCTCAACAGTAGATTTGAGCTGGAAGAAGAAAGAATCCTTGGACTTGGATCTAGAATAATGGAGCTAGTGCAGCCCGAAGGAGAGACAGAATGAAAAGTGCTCACTTTGGCAGCCCTTACACCAAAATTGGAACATACAGAGAGTAGCATAGCCCCTGTGCACATGACATGCAGATTTAGGAAGCATTGCACATTTGTAAGCCCTTTGTCAAACTTAAAACTCTTCCCCAAGAAAAGAGGATTGTAATTTCAATAGGATGTTAAAACTTAATCTCAAATTGATGACTGCAGAGTATTTTAGCAATTAAAGAAATGCTTGTGAAGACTTTTTAATAACTTAGTCTTTATGAAGAATTAAAACATACCATGATTATCTCTGCACTATTATGGAAATCTCACAAATGACGAATAAATATTCTAAGGGGAGAAAAGAATGAAGAACCTCAGAAATGTGGAACACCATTAAGTGCACCAATACACATGTAATGGGAGCGCCAGAAAGGCAGGGGAGTGGGAGAGGGTACAGAAAAGATATTTGGAGTAATAATGGCTGAAAATGGCTCAAATTGGCCTGGAAAACTTTACACATCCAAGAAACTCTATGAACTTGCAGTAGGATAAACCTAAAAAGAGACATACCCAAATGCGTCATAGTCAAAATGTTGAAAACCAAAGATAAAGTCTTGAAAGCAGCAAGTGAAAAGTGACTCCTCGTGTAACAAGGGACTTCTCGTTAGAAACAGTGGAAGACTAGAAGGCAGTGGGACAATATTCAGAATTCTGGGAGAAACAAATAACTTACATCCCACTTTCTTTTTGACCTTTAAATCCTGAGGTTAAGTCAGTAGGATTGAACATTAATTTTTCTACTTTAGGCAACTCAGCTCCTCATTTTTGTAAAATCCAAAGGCCACCATTGTTCATCTTCATTTTGAAGTGTCCTAGCTTTTCACTTGTTTGATCCAGACCTAATTATAAGCCACAGAACCCTACTTTTTGTGTAAAATTTTCTTTTTCCAGTCAACCATGAGAAATGAGTTTGTACTGTATAAATGTCTTATAGCTACAACATATTAAATAATGTCACACATATGGAAATGTTAAGACTAATATATTTAAGATAGATAGGACATTCTTCTGGGTACCACCTGCTACATATCGCTCCTTAACAGACTAAAACCATATGGGCATCAGGCGAGCAGTCAGGGATATTTCCTGGTGTTCTTGGGTATAAAATATCGTATTGCAAGAAGAATTGAACATAGTAATAATTGTATGTGATTTCAATGTATTTTTTTCTCCATAGATCTGATGAAGTAAATTTTAGAAAAGTTATTGCTAGTAACATTTTGGTGATAATTTTCAAGGAATACCTATTAATATCTTTGAATATTAGTGTTTGATAAAACATAATTTGAAATGTTTTAAATGGAAGTAGATTTCTACGGTGGATCTACAGTGGATTTCTAGTGAAGGAGAAGGAAATTCTGGTCTCTGTACTGAATCAAAAACTGTCTCCTAAAAGAGCAAATGTGGATCCTTTTTTGTAGAGTCTGCCTTCTCGTGCAAGATGCCCTCGGACTCTTCAGTGAGGTGCACTCGGAGGGCGCCGTCCTGAAGGACAGGGAGTTGGAGGGCAAGTCCTGCAGGCTGGCGGGAATGAAGGTTCTGCAAAAGGTCACCAGAGGAAGGTGAGGACACCACAGTAGCATCCAGTTCGCTACAGTAACATCTGTAATTTCATTTTTAAAGACAATAAACTAGGATCCTAGAGTCTGCCTGTAAGACAAGGCCACGAGTTGGGTGGAGCCCATAAAGTACTTATGGGAGAAAAATTATCATTGACAACAAAAATAGTTATGCAGGTTTAGTGATTCACAATTTTATTAAAATTAGGATTAAAAATGTCATATATATGTATTTTAATTCTAAAGTTTTTTCTTTATTTTTCCCTTTCTATACTAATAAGGCACCTTTGCATGAGTCAGTTTATGTAAGTGAAAATATAATTGAGTGAAAAGGCATTTTATAAGCGTTAAGCAAAACTCTTAATTTGTCACGTTTTTTGCTTTCCATAGCAAGAAAGCTTGTTTTCTGTCACGTTTCGTGACTCCTCGCGCTAGATGTTGTTTTGGGTGGCGGTGGTACATAGATCTGGCCCCAGCGTGGGTTGTTCCATTGCAGTGAGCATCTTAATCTATGAATTAGGTAGCAGAAGAAACCTTTTTGGTGGAACGATCCAGTCATATAGAGAATTAGTGTAAACGGTGAATTTGGGTTTCTCTCATCGTAGCCTCTTTCCTCAAGCAGTGTGTAATTTTAGCTGTCTTAATGCTGCTGTCTTACTTAGAGCAACGTCTGAGCTTGTAACAGTGCAGGAGGGAGGAGCCCTTGGGAGGCGCCGTTGGGAGGCGCCGTTGGGAGGAGCCATTGGGCGAACGCGCTGCTCCTAGTCCAGTGGTCTGCATACCGGCCCTTCCGGCCGTGCTCCGTCTAAACTGTGAGCGTGAGCGCCGCCGGCGTGTCTCGTGACTGGCAGCCCGCTTTCCCCGGCCCCGCCCTGTGCCGCATCTGTCTCTCACGTGCCGCTGAGTGGCGACTCCACCCAGGACCCTGTTTTCCTGAAGGACAGACCCCCTGTGAGCCCTGCATTGATTCATGTACACTCGGCTCGTAACAAATGCTTCCTTTTGCTTACAGAAGGGAGGCTGTGTTACAGTGTAATTGCCTTATGGATTAGGGAGGGAGCTGCCCAGATATTTGGAAAGCTTAAGTGGGTCACATGAACCTTATCGTTTCGAAGGCTGAACCCCATGTAGTCCTCAGTTTCAGAATCACAGGCATCTGGAAAGACCGTGTGTAGTGGTGGTAAGTGAGGTGCTGCTCTGGCGTTGGCCTGACGGCATTAACCCCACCGGGGCCATGTAGACCTCCCTGACATACATTCGGCACCAGCCTCACACCTGAGCACGCCAGGGTACTGGGGCTCCCCGTCTCGGGAGCCTCAGTGGAGCCCCTCCAGCTGGCAGGTGTCCTGGTGTCCTGCAGGCCAGAGGAGTCCACTCCTGGGGATGCACTTCCTGCTGGCGACTGGGGGACCCAACTCCAGGGAAATACTCCTGGGGACTGACAGAGCCAGGAGGGGTGCGGGGGCTTTGCTCTATAAAGTACATGCTTTGCTACCATGATGCTATACAGCCATATGTGTACCTAATGTTTAATCTGGTTTTTGTGGGTTACACTGGAAGCCTTGCTACTGTCTACAACATTGCCATAGGAAATGTTTTTTCCACGGGAAATGCACTGACTATTCTGAATAATTCATTTACAAACTTTTGGAACCCATCCATTTTTAAGTTGGACTAAAATTTGACTATTGGATACTTTTTTAGGTTGGAATTAATTTCTTTATCCTATGTGTTTAACTTTATTTTAGCATGCAACTATCCAAATAAATATTAAGATTGTCTTTTTGTTCTTTTGGAAGCTGTTATTTCTTCAAAACAAATTATTAAATAGTTTTGGAATGCTGAATGTTATAATTGCCTATTAGTGACATCATCCACTGTCAGTCATCCATCCACGGCCCAGTAAACACAAATTGTCTCTTCCCCCCCCCCACAATTATTGTGTTTCATAGCAACTCTCATAAACCTTAGCAAAATATATTTCTGATAAACCTTAACGAAATACACTTAGTTCCCAGAATTCAAGCTAAAATGATTAATTATAATTAATTTCAATATCTAATATAGAAAATTACTTTTTTGCCAGTTGGAAGATAGTTTTACGTTTGGGCTGATCGTGGAGCCTTTGAAATCTTAGCTCCCCGGTCTCATCTGGTCCACAGTCACAGTGACGGAAGTCACTGCTCCCTGTGGCGCTTTGGGTGGACTGGCGGCCTTGGGGCTGGGCCTTTGCAGGGCAATCCCACCCTGTTCACCTGCCGCCTTGGGAAGAGTTGCAGGAAAACAGCTGTCGTGTCTGTCGCATTTCTCTGACCGCTTTTTGGAGTTGTGTGTCCATACTGACTCGTGAGGGTGAGAAGAGTCAGAAAAATATTCTGGATGTAAAGGAAAAGACCATTTGAAAACAACACTGCTGAGGCATGTGCCTCTCCCTGGCTCTCTGCGTCCCTGGAGGACTCCAGGCTGTCTGTCCAGGGGTTAAGGTGTGTCCCCTGACCTTTGTCCTCCCAGGTGGCCTCTGCAACAGTTTAGAGGTTAGACAGGCTGAAAACTCACTTTACTTTGGTGTCTTAGTTCTGTGTATGAGCTTTATCTTTTTATTGCTGATTATTATGTGCTTTTATTTTTATGTGATAGGGTAATACTGAGGGAAAAGAGAAATTTTCTGAAACATCTTACTCCTATAAGTATGGAAAATATAGTTAGCATATTTTTTGGCGGGGGAGAGGAACCTCTTTCAATTCAAAGTCCTGCTAATACTTATGTCCCTACTTGTTAAAACAAAAGCCACTAATCTGTCTCAAATACATTATTAATGTATAAGTGACTATTTTATTTAGATCTCTTTAAGAGTAAGGTACTGGAGAAGATTGTTGCAGAGCATTTAGTCAGCACCCACTGTATACAGAGGGGTCTGTCTGAGTGCTGAGAATGACAGGGAAGCAACTAACAAGATCTTTGACCATGAATTGCCTCCTTTTGAACTGGAGACTAGAGCTGCCCAGGGATCCTGGGCGGTTGTTGCTTTAAGTGATGGGGCCTTAAATGGCTGGTCTTTTCCTCAAATTGGTAAGATGTTATCTGTGAAGACATAAAAGTAGGATTAGGAGAAAGTATAATTCAGTCATTTATTCGTTAAATATTTAGGACCTCTTTGTGCTATGCCCCTGGCTAGTTGCTGCTGTGCTAGATTTTCGGGATTTATCTGAAACCACAATATACTGAAATAAAAAGTCAGCTAGACAAAGCCTTAAATCCTATTTTTAGGGATTCTGCATTGATCCAAGAGAAAATTAGGGCCCCTAGGAGTTTTTGAGAGAAGAAAAGAAGAGGTAATAAAAATGAAAATAGAGTTAAGATTATTCTACTCTTGTACTTTTAATAGGTTTGCAACAGAAGGAGGGATTGGGCAGGGGTGCAGATTTGGAAACTTCTGCAGCAGTTGAGGGCAGGAGGAGGAGGAACGCATCACCACGGATTTTTAACTTCCATTAGCTTCGGGGGCCAGGGGGGTGGGTGGCGCTCTCCTGGGAGCTGTGGTGATGCCAGGAGTGTAAAATAGCCCGTTTCTCCCAGAGCTCATAGACCAGCAGGAGAGCCAGGAGGAGGTCCCGAGAGACACCAACCGGCGAGTGCCAGTTACAGAGCAGCCACTTTGCCCGGCTCAGAGGGCAGGTTCAGATTTGGGAACCCTGGAGAGAACGGGAGGGGCCTGGGGCTGAGGACAGGAGGGCGGGAGGACACGCCCCCTGATCTAGCCGTCCACTCACCCCCTGGGGCGGGGTCCATCTGGTCAGCTTTGAGGATAGAGTGAGGGGTTGGGCACGTCGAGGGGGGTGTATTTCAGAGAATGGTCTGATTAATAGTTACTGTTTAAATGCCAGCTTTTGTTTTAAAGGTAACAGATTAAGTACTGATAAACTTTTAAGTTAGAAGCCAGGCTTAGTTAGCATGATCACAGACTAACCCCATGGTCAGGAAACAGAAGGCCCTCGAAACCCCCATGCTGCTCCCCAGCCCTCTGCCCTTAGGGCCGTTGGTCTGGCCCCCCGGGGTGGGCGGTGGGGGGGCAGAGCGCTCTCCCGTTCTCCAGGTGGCGCCTTTGTCTCTTGCATCTGCTGCTTTGGGTCCAGTGCTCAGGGCTGTGTGGGATTCTCAGGACCTGTGTCCCACCAGAGGGGTATATTGTCAGGTAAACTTGAGTGACATTTTAGCAATAATACGCAAGCGTTAACAGTAGTCTGAGGAGCCCTGGGATCGCTCCCCCAGCTGGCCTGTGCTGTGTCCCAGCTGCTCAGCTCTGAGTCCCAGTGGCTTCTTGACATGCAGACCTGGTCTTGCCCCTCTGCATGGTGTAGACTATTGTGGATTAGGACGCCTCGTGGCCAGTGTTTGAGGCTGGCCTGCCCATCATAAGGCTCTGCTTCTCGCTCACCATTGTGTTTCCTGTACGTGGCTCAGTTCCTGGCACTCGAGAGGCTCATAATAAGTATTTGTGGAATGGACATTCGTTGTTTGCTTGGGTTCATCTTAGATTCTCCTTAACGAGATTTGAATGTGTACACTTGTACTTTCTGAGCAGTAATTATTGGTGCTCAATTTTAGTGGGAAGAATAGAGACTAAGTTGGTCCCAAGACCAGTGTCCAGTGCAGGGTGAGGACCACGCCTTTTGTGCACCTTGGACTCAAGACCCTGGGTCCTCCTCACTAATAAGTCTAGGGGGTAACGCCTGAGGTTGTTGTGAAAGCACTTTATCCAGGATGGGATCCCATCTTATGGAGGAGGGCCTGGAACAGGTGAGGGTGACTGGTCAGAGGTCAGGCTCCACTGTGACTTTGGGCACCAGGGCGTTGGTCTCCTGGGAGACCCTGTGTGACCCACGTGCATGGAGGTGCAGCAGAGGGAGTCTTTAGGGATCGTCCAGCACAAGTCGATGTGTGTGGGTTAGGGCCGTTGTGGAGGGATCATCTCAGTTGCGCCTTTAACAGGAAATAAGCAGTGG